AAATTTTCTGGAAGTCGAAAGGGTTTTGGTTTTTTTGGGTTTTTTGTTTGTTTGTTTTTGTTTGTTTTTTTTAATCATTGTAGGATGGCAAGCAAAACATAAGGGAATCATTTTTTAACAGTGCTTTTATCGAATTAGCCATATTCCATTTGTTTTAGAACTAAATTACTATTTACATGAGAGAGACAATAGCTCACCAAATGTTGCACTAATGCCTTCATAAAACAAACATAAACTGGGAAGGGAGTTCAATCGTCTCATTTCCTTTTAACAGATATAGTTTCAAAGAATTTCAGAGATCTCAGCAGTACTAGGACACGCAAGCTACTGACCTCTATGTCTACAGAGGATGATGTCTGAATGCACAACAGGCATATCTTGCTGTTAGGAAAGAACATATAATTGTTTGCTTAGTAAGACTTTAAGCAAATTACAAAGAAGATACAAAAGATACAACTAAATGGGCACATTACTTTTCTTATCATTCCTTTATTGTGGCTTTGTTCACAATATTCCTAGGGGCATCAAATACTACAACCTCTTTTATAAACAGTTAGCTTAAATTCGCACTGAAATCATGTCTCAGTTTGCCTATGTTGAGAGAATAACAGACAGACAATCCTTTCCAAGTCTAACCAGTGCAGTCATATTCATGACACAGAATAGGAAAAGTATGAACAATTAAACTAAAACACATTGAAACACTGTAGAAACCGAGAAACCATTTTTTTGTGATCATCTCTCTACTAATGATTAGACTTGGGGAGTATCTTGGCCCAAAGCTTTTCAGAACTCTCCTCCAGGAAAAAACAAACAAGCATGACACTGGAGGGGCCAATTCTATGCCAGACTGACTTTCCAGAAACAAGGTTTTCCTTTTGGTATTCCTGCTTTTTCAGTTTTTGATTTGGAGAGCAAGATGTTGTGAATTGGTTTTGTTTTGTTTTCCCCCAGGATAAGGACGAAAACATTACAGAGACGCCAAAACCTGAATTTTAAATTTCTTTTCAGTCTAGTCATACCATTTTCATTTAGATCACAGATCTAAGCAGGCTCTAAATTTGGTTGCCCATTTGCAAGTCAATTCACTGTTATAGAAACGGCAAAAAACGAGAAGCAAAATCCTGCTTCTTCATCTGGGGGGTATTAAAACAGCCAGCAGTAATAAAATCACAAAGAAAAATCAGGTATGATCTGAAATGCAAGAGATACAGCAGCTGAAAGCTATTCCATTATCTCCACATTGATTTACAGCTGTGCGATGCAGTTTACCAAGACTAAGAGTGTAGGAGTTTAAGAACTTACTGGACCATGTCAGCTACATAGCCTTCCAGATAGCAGCTGTTGAATTTCACCAAGTTCACCAAAACCAGAAGGAATTCAGAAGACAAACCAACATCCATCCACTGCAGCACAAAGTCAGCTAGAGGAGGAAACCAAGATGTTACAACATGCTTCCTATCCAGACACATTATCACTGTTAATTTCTCTTCTCAGTGCAGGCTGTCACCTGACTTATTAAAAATCAAGAGGGGTAGAGTGGATACGAACCCAGTTCTTCCTCCAAGTAGGTTATGTATCGTCCATTCTCCGTGAGAGCTTTGAACACTTCAAGTCGTTCATGTAAATCTTCATTGGATGGATAGTCCTTAATCACCTTAAAGAAGTGTGCTCTGAGGATCCCTAATCTCTCACCCTTAAAAAAGAGGCAAATAACTGTGTAATTAACCAAAAAGGCCTAGACCAAATCACCAGCTGTAATAGTGATTTAGAATTTCATGCTTGAAATTCTGAATTTAAATAGAATTTCATGCTTGAAATTCTTTTTCCTGCAGGTTCTGAAAGTCTCCTAAAGTACCTCTACTTCTACTGACACCAGCCCAGCTCTTTTCTATGAATTCTGTTTATTTCCCCGTACTCAGCGCATTTTGTTTAACACCATGCAGACAGCACCCAATACACACGTATTTCAAGGGACTTGTGACAAAAATCTTTGCCAGGAGAGCATTAAGAAAAATAAAATAAAATAAAATAAAATAAAATAAAATAAAATAAAATAAAATAAAATAAAATAAAATAAAATAAAACCACGAGAATGCCTGCTCTTTTCCTAGGCATATATCCTTATTTGCAGGATTCTGGGAATCCTTGATCTGCTACAGTGAGACATTTGAATAGCACACTATTCAAGAATTAAGAATTTATAGCATGCCAGGCTGGGAAAGTATCACGTCAGAACTTTTTGCACACCTGACACACTGAAACATCAAGACGTGTTGCAGACCAGGATTGATGCGTCTGGGCAAGCATCATGCAAAATTCACTGTGCTAGACCTGAATTTAAACCCAATACCTTTCCTCTTCAAGGAGGACATTCCTATCCCCCACACTCTCCCTCCCCCAAGGAGTTTTCCTCGCACTAAGACTTGACTTAAACACTGCCTCATCCCATTTATTCAGCACAACCGAAAAAAGATACAGGGAAAGCTGCAGAAAAGAGGAAGCCAAAACTTTTCATAGTTGTACTCTGCACAAACCCAGGTCTTCTACTGATTTTTTTTTTACCTGTCCTTGAATTATTGACTTTAGCAGATGAAGAACAGCATGTCTGGCTTCAGCTGGGCGTTCTGGCTGCAGCATATCAGCTACCACTTTCCATATTGCTTCCACTGCATGCTGGAAATAAACATAGGAGAAGGACAGTAGCAGGAAAACTAAGCTGCTTCTGGAATTTTTACCTGCTCAGTCATTAATTATGGCAGGTTAATGAACAAGATCTCCAGGAATTTTATGTGAAGAATTCTCTTTTCTGACAGATGCTCCTACCTTACCTGTTAGAGGCTCAGATGAACCATGCACAACAAAGCAAATCCTGCCCCATGCTGTAACTCACACCCCCACAACTCAAGTCCTTCATTCACTCCCTTACTTCAGTGCAAACACAATCTCATTTAAAACTTGGGTCAGAAATATTTGGTAGAAAACTCCGGCCAGGAAAATAAAATAAAATTGCTTATTCACAGGTCAGAAAGAGCTAGTGAGTATCATCTTTACAGGAGTAAAATCATCTCCTGTGAACCATCCAGAAGAGGCCTGAACATTCACAACATTCTCCTGCTTCATCCAGGAAGCCGGTCAGCTGCATCCTCTCTGCTCCACCAGGAAACATTGGATAAGACCAATTCCTTTGGCACAGGGACCATCCTTTTATAGGCTTGGATTGCACAGAATGTAGCTTCTCGGTTAACCATTTTTAAGAGGCAGTGTAAGTGATATGAGCTTCCTACAACAAACCAAGAACTGTTGCTTAAAACATTTTAATCCGCCAAATATTCACAGAATACCTTAAAACGTACCTCTTCGATTTTTTTGGTTTTTGCTACTTCACAGATTTGGCCAATTGCTCGTATTCTATTGCTCAGTCCACATTCTATGCTCAATTCCTGGGAAGAAATGAATAAGTTAACATTTTATATTATTAGAAACCCACTTCTCAAAGCAGATCATGAGTCACTGACAAATTAACTGCATGTTTGTCCAAAATGATCAAACTGTCAGTCATTACTGGGGCTGTTCAGGAATTTCTCCAACAAAACTTCTTTCCATTAGCAAAAGATGACTTGTCAAACTTAGAACTTCCACAGAACTGGAGTCAAGCAGGTTTTCACATCCAGGACAGCAATTCTCATGGAAAATTTCATTTTCTTCAGAAAAACAGTAACTCACTGGCTGTGGCACTTGCCCAGCACACGTGAGACAGACAAGGGAGGGACCTAAATCTGGCTCTCCAGCTCACACAGCAGCTCCCTCCAGCACAGACAGAAAAGGATTTGTGTCTCTTTCTCCCTGACGTGTTTTTTCCTCCCTGGGTGCAAACTACCCTGTTTACAGACTTGCTGGACCAATTATTGGATTTATTCTTTTCTTAAAACCATGACTTTTCCATGGAATGGAACGCTGTTACCAGCCTGTCCCAACCACCACCACAAAGACTTCATTCAACGAGCTCAGGCTGTAAGAACAGAGCCAAGGAACTGTGACCAAGGCACGCTCCGAGGAAACACCCCGCACACCCAGGGAGCGGATGACAATACCCATCAAATACCCCAGAACTATCCAAACACTGAGGAATTAGGCAGCAGCCTCCCTTCACAGCACCTAAGTGTTAACACATTTTACTAGATAATGAATTGACCAGTAAGGAAAATTAATAGCCAGCTCAGAGATGGAATAAACGCAGGACAGAAATGAATGAGCAAGTCCTCCTTGGGGCTGTGGTGGCCCCTCCAGCCCTCCCTTGGCCGCGGCACCAAGCACCCCTGCCAGCTTTGCTGCGGTGGCTCCTCACACCTTGAGGATCTCTGCAGTGATGATGAACTCTGTCTGCTTTCCCTCCGCCGATTTCGAACTTCCCCGGGACGTTCCCAGCCCCAAGAGATTCTTAAACTTCTCCTTCAGGCCGGAATCCTTGCTCTGCGGCTTTGCCATGGCTGACAAGGAGGCGGTGCGGAGCCCCTGCAAACACAGAACAGCTACTGGTGGGGAGGCCCAAGCGAAAACCTCAGGCAGACAAACACTAGCAACGGGCTGCCCGGTGCCCCCGAGCCCGCTGAGCCCCGACGCGGAGGACGCAGCAGTGACCGTGCAAGCAGCCTGTATTTCTCCTGCCCCTAGCGAACTTTAACACTCAGCCAGGTGTTTTCTATAAGCTTTTTATGTCCAACACCTGCAGAGCCTATCCTGTAAGCACCGTTTCCAGACGGCTAAGCCGGCTTGTAAAAGGTGCACGCTCACAGGCACGTGTGCTTCTTGGGGTGCACGAGCTAAAGAGCCTGTTCCTGATCCGCGGGGATCGGGAAGCCACGGAGCGCTGTGAAATGAGTGTTGGGAACCGCACAATGGCACAGCGACACCGCACACCTTCCCCCACCCCAGGAAGCGTCACGGACCCCCGCAAACTTGGGGACACCACAGACACCCCCCTTGGCCCCAAACACCCTGGGGGACATTGCAGCCCCCTCTTCACCCCTGGGGACACCCATATCCCCCCTAGCAAACACCCTGGGGGACATTGCAGCCCCCTCTTCACCCCTGGGGACACCCATATCCCCCCTAGCAAACACCCTGGGGACATCGCAGCCCCCTCCTCACCCCTGGGGACACCCATATCCCCCCTAGCAAACACCCTGGGGGACATTGCAGCCCCCTCTTCACCCCTGGGGACACCCATATCCCCCCTAGCAAACACCCTGGGGACATCGCAGCCCCCTCCTCACCCCTGGGGACACCCATATCCCCCCTAGCAAACACCCTGGGGACATCACACACCCCTCTTCACCCCTGGGGACACCCACATGCCCCCCAGTAAACACCCTGGGGGACACTGCAGCCCCCTCCTCACCCCTGGGGACACCCACCCA